AAAAAGATGGTGAAGATTATATACAGCTTTTGAGTTTGTTGTCGTGACGGGTTAGAATTAAAGGGTGATTTGCATATCCATGCAATTCATTATCCCATTTGATTCCGAGTTTTTCAAAATAGTAGTCATTGCGTTTCATCCATATTAAGTTCACCTGTTTGTATGCTTCTTTTGAAAAGATCTTATCCCACTTCGGTCCTAATCCGATTTTAGCCCCAAGTAATGCCCATACATCTGCATTCGCTCTGATTTTATCTATGATCTTTCTTACTTTTCTTTTCTTCTCCTTAGTGCAAGATTGGTTGGCAATACTGCATAGATTAATCCACATTGCTTGTCTCTCGGTCTTGTAATTAGGGCATTTCATTAGTATGTGGGTGAAGGTCTCTTTGTCACCACAGGTGCAGAGGTGGGTAAATTTCCTGTTAATTTTGTCAATATTACTAAATGTTTTCATGTCGTCAAGTCGGGCTCTCATAATCATGTTGATAGTTCTAAAGCCAATGCCCATACTTGGGTAAATCAGATTAAACTTTCTGTTCTTTGGTGGTAGATGTTTTGGAAGCATGAAAATATATTTTTCATTGTTGTCATGTTTTTTCTCATCTGCCAGTTGTTATCAAACTTGAACATTGTTCTAATTTCCTATGAGCCAGGCGAAGTCTTCTTAGCGCATACAGGATGTACAATTTCAGAAAATGTAGAAATTGTACATCCTTCCACCGAACTGTCTCATGATGAACATTCGATTTCTGAATTGATCTGTCACATTCCTCTATAAAACAAAAATAACCAATGTTCAGCATCAATCCCTCCAACTCCAAGCAATCGGTCGACGATGATGAAGACTTTGTGTTCAATTTGACTGACTTTGAATTCAACACCAATTTAGCAGAAACCATCCAAGAATCACGTCCCGATTTTTCAAAAAGCATTCAATATCAGCATCATGATGAGGTCTCCGATCATCATGCCAATCAACAACAACACCTCTCCGAAGACTATTGGCTCTACATTTCTGAATTTATTCCCTTGTACGATTTTAATAGATTTTCTTTGGTGTGTACAGCATTTGCTGAAATATTGACCTATAATCGGAGATATTTAGTGTTAAAGAAGATTTCAAAGGATTTCAAGAAAGTATTCATGAGCTCACCCGATTTAAATGCAGATTCAATTATTACATTAACTGGTACGTCATTGTGTTTTTCTCAATATTATTTATCCATGTACAAACTGATCAATCAGTGGAAAGATCCCCAAGTGACGATCCCAACTTCTCCAAAGCATTACAATTTGACATTTTTGACTTTTTAATTCGAACAGGAAAATATCAACGAAATTTATTCAGATATTTCAAACCAGATTATTATGATTCATCTTTTGAAATGAATGATGACATGTATCTTCGACCGCTTCAACAAGATGTCATTCTTGATTGTATTGATGATTTTAAGTACGCTCCTGCGAGGTTGCTTGATGACAAAGATTTCATCCTAAAGAAGGCATTTAAAGTATCTCGTGAAAGCCCAAATTGTTATATATTATTATCCACTCGATTAAGATCTGACAAGGAAGTAATGATCGCTGCAATGAAACACAATGGCGCCTTACTGAACAACTTACCTTATGGCGTGACGATTGACCATGACATACTCAAAGCTGCTCTTTCTTGTAATCTAAGCCGTAACCAACTTGTTTATCATCACTACAGTGGAGGTCTCGCATTTTCGAGACTCACTCGACATGTTCTGTATTATTATTTTTCGAGAGGTGAAATGATCGATCGAGAAATTTTACATTTCGCTCTCAAGAAAGAAAAACTGAGCGTGTTGAAAGAATTGGTAGAACTTACAAAACTACCAAAGGATATCATGCTTGATGCTTTGCAGGTTGCATTTTTCATTCTCAAAAATTACAAACTGGCCTATCAATTACTAGAAAAGTATTTTTATGCACATTGCATGGTAAATATGGAAAGGGGAGAAAATTCTTATTCTCTCGAACCCTATGCCTATTATTTTAATAACTTTGGTGAACCAATTGATGGCATGGAATTTTATCCACCATTCCGAAAGTGGAGCATGATGGAAGTTGTGGAACGCCTCACAGAGAAGGATCACGCATATTTTGCATTCTTTACTTGTTCAAAAACGCTTTCTGCTCCAACCATACTCTACATGATGAAATACATGAAGAGTGGCAGAATGACACCTGCCTTAGCAAAAATGTATTGACAAAGACATTGGAATCAAAATGTGTCGATGAAATTGCAAAGAAATTGGCTTTAGAACTTGTCACTTTTGCTTTCGGAGACAAGGTTCTTGTGAAAAAAATGATTTCAATGTATCCAGGCTTGTTTTCAAGCTTTCCTGAAGATTTAAAAACTGATTCAAGCATTATTCAAGCAAGCTTGCCTTATAGCTTGGCTCTTGTTCCTGAAAATGCAAGAACGGAGGAATTTTATTTACAGTTATGGAATAAGAAGGCAAGATTGTTTTTCAAATGGAAAAGAGAACATCCAAAAATGGTTCATGACGTTCTATTTTCAATCAATGCAGAAACTGGAAAATTAATTCTGAGGGACCATGTCACAAAATATTCAAATTTTTTACGTTATCTCTATACGAGTCATTTTGATGGAATTTCTAGTATTGAAGAGGTGATATCTCCTTCCCAAGTTGCAGCTCTAGTGAGGAGTTCAAAAACGGGATATATTCGATCCACTATTGGCTTTCCACATATGTCAAAAGATGAGGTTGCTATTGAGCTTGTCAAAAAGAGCGCCCATACACATTTTATGCTATTGAATAATGTGAATCCAGATCTTGTGGTTCCTTTGATTACCAAACAATTTATCATACATGTCACGTATACCTATAATTGTTATTTTTCAACTCGCCTGGTACATTTGCTTTGGGATAGGGACATGATTATCCTGAAAAAGATCTTTGAAAGAACTGAGAGAGAGATTAAATAAGGAAATTGCTGAATCTCTTGCTGAGCTAGTTCGAAATGAATTTGAAAAGTTGGTAGAACTTTCAAAGGCATGCCCTTCGAGTTTGCAATACTTTTCAAAAGAGATACAAGAACAAATTAATCAGGCATTGGAAAATCATTAAGAATCGTTGTGAATTTTATGGAAATTTACCAATAAGGTTGTATACTAACGTTCTTTTCTCGAGAATTAATAGATAGGATTAGTCACAAGTGTCTATTACCTCACAAAGAACAAGATACAATGTACCTGTTAAGAAAGAGCATTTGTATAATTCCGTTCATGATGTTCCCAAGAACTCGATTCGAAATCAATTCAATCCTCACCTTGAACATAAAAAAAAATGTTTCTTCGTCTCAAAAGCACTGCTTTGCCTAATGACAGCATTCGGGATGACAAGATTTCTCCCGAAACAACACCACACTCTCATCATGATTTCTCTCGACATGATTCTTCCTCTTCATCCTCCGTCATGATTACACTCTTTCTTGCTTCCGATACAGTTGAAAATGTGGTGGAATTCATACAAGACCAAGATCGTGAAATGGTTCAACAGGTATGCAGGTGCTTTCAAGAGGCTTGTCGTGTGGTGGAGAGACGCGAATTTCTCTACATGTGGCACGATGAGAATAGATGTTTACTAAAACCACTTTCGGAGCCTCCTGTCGATGAACAAGTCCTTTCTCAGCGAGAAATGGAATTGAAAACAAAATTTCCATTGTGTTTGAGAGAATTTCTGAAAATCACGAATGGAAGACCCTCATGGAGTGACGACGTACTTCATGTCAATAACCTTCTGAATCGTGTAGAGCTTTGGAAATATGATCACTCTCGAAAATTTATCATTTTAGGACTTTCCACTCAAAATTCCAATGCCTTGACTTTGGATCCCAAGAAGGGTGTGATTCGATTAAATCAGACACGCGTTCATTTCAAACATTTCGTGACCATGCAGAATCGTCCATTCCACTTCTCCCTCTACGACCAAGAAAA